AAAAAAACCCCACACACTAAACTACGTAACTTCATGTCTTAGAGAATGGTATTTTAAGAATATGGCTATAAAATCTTTATACAGCAAACATTGTTTTTTACTTGACTGTTTAAGAATCATATACAACATTTTACTGTAAAGTCATGAACAGGAGTTGTTTTTGTTACATTGGGTCTAAAATCTGAAGGCAATTTCATCACACTCTGATAACTGCTCCACAGGGATATAACTAAGCCATAAATAAATGTGTATTTACTACAACTTAGCAGGTACCAAGGTTACAAGTAACACTTAGTTGTCTTCAAATAAAACCACCTAAAAGAAATGAAAAAGAATTCTGCATGAAGATGGCAGACTGAATTCATGTCCTTTGTTCTTCTGAAAGCCCACTTAAAACATACTGAAAAGCAGCTGTCCAGGCTCAGGCCTAGGTTACGGCAACATGGCTAAACGCACCAAGGTCTGGACCGTGGGTAAATACGGACACGCTATGGAGCCTCCCTCCGGAAAATGGTAAAGAAGATTGAAATCAGCCAGGACGCCAAGTATACTTGCTCCGTCTGTGGCAAGATGAAGAGACGGGCTGTTGGCATCTGGCACTGTGGTTCCTGCATGAAAACAGTGGCTGGTGGAGCCTGTACCTATAGTAACACCTCTGCTGTCACTGTCAAGTCTGCTGTCAGAAGACTGAAGGAACTGAAAGACCAGTAGAAGCACTGCCGTTTGAGACATCCCTGGCCCACAATAAATGGGTTAATTTATGTGACTGTTAAAAAACAAAACAAAACAAAAAAAACCCACATTGAAGCAACCTCACAAAATTTACAAATAATATATAACAAATGACAGAGGAAATAAGAGATCTCAACTGAGTAGAAATAACTGAGGAAAAACCAGCTCTTGTAACAAAGTGCTTAAAAGGCTTGAATTTGGCCACACGCCTTTAATTCCAGCACTTAGGAGGCAGGTGGATCTCTGAGTTCAAAGCCAGCCTGGTCTACTTAAGACAGTTCCAGGCCACCTACGGCTATAGGGAGACCTTGTCTCAAAAAGACCAAAAAGAAAAACAAACAAAAACAGCTTGAATTTGGCAAGGCCAGGTTCCTTTGGAAATAGGTGGGAAAAGATAAGGAGCACAGGGCTTCACTTCCCCTCCTACACAAATCATATCCCTCTGCAGTCTCTTGAGCCCTGGGGCTGCCACTCTATCTCAGATTAAACTATGGGTCATGACCCCATATGGGTTGTATAACTGTAATTGGGGGCCCAAAATATTTTGCAACAACATAAGATTTTTTAATGAGCAACAACCAAAACGTAATTCAAAATCAAATGTGTAATGAATCCAAGATGGTCAGGCAGTGAGGGCCTGCGCAGGTACAGGTGACATCGCTGTATGTTTGGTTCTAAACACAAAACACATGCATTCTGCACTGTGCACGTTGTCATGCCAACAAAATCCACATGAAACACCTCACCTCAGACTGGAGATGACTGTATGCTAGGAACTGCAGGGTACATTCCAAGGCTTTTGATCCCATATAAATATAAATGTGTACTGAGGGGACATTTGATACTTTCCTACCGCAGTTCATCAGTCTGTGTGGACATCAAGAAAAACACTTCACAAAAGTCTGTACCATCCACGCACTCAGATCTTCCCAACCAAGAACTTAATTCTTTTAATTAAGATAAGATTACCCTAGGTCAGGCATGGTGGTGCCTTTAATCACAGTACTCAGAAGGCAGAGGCAGGAGGAGCTCTGTGAGTTCAAGGTCTATATAGCCTGGTCTACATAGCCAGTTCCAGGCTACCTGGGGCTACCTAGAGACCCTGTCTCAAAAATACCCCCCCAAAAGATTAACCTATCTATTTATCTAATTTCAACATTTAGCATCTCACTTTGAATCACTCATGTAACTCATGTAAAGTCAAGGACTATCTGGTCACTCAGTAACATAAAAGACAGACATGAAATCACAATAAGCAACTTGGAATTAACACACGATGCAGGAAGGAAAACAGCATCACCTGGGCACTAATACAGAAGAAAAGAATAGGATGCTGCAAGAAGGACCAGTCAACAGAAGGAAAAAACTGGACCTCTGACCAGAACAAAACGAGGAAATCACAGAAGGGAGGGGTGGTAAAGTAAGGACATAAATTGTAAGGGGCAGAGGGAAGGCAGAACAACTTGGGTAGGCGCTAGAAGTACGAGAAGAAAACTTTAGGAAAAACTCATGATGACCCGTTTCAGATGAAACATGAAAGGTGCAATCCAGTGCCTGCAAAAAGAGGTTGGTTGGTTTCTTTTGGAAAAAGCAAGTTACAAGGAGATGGGAAGAGGACCTCAAGCTTGGACGCAGGTCAGTTTAAAAGGATTCCAGATGAGAGCAGAACTGAGCTTTGGGTGCAACCTGTCTCCATGTACCACATCCCAAGCTTCTCTGACTGAAGGTTGTTGCTTTCTAAACATACCTAAGATTTGAAATCTTTAAAAAAGGAAGTTACATGAAAACCAACATTAATGTTCATGAGGTTTTAGAACACGGATAACAAAGAATCTTGTGAAAACCTAAGAGCTTCCAGAGAAAATAAAGATCACAAACCACGTATAGTAGCACAACGCTTGTAATCATGATACCTAAGAGATAAAGGATCAGGGCTGGAGAGATGGCTCAGCAGTTAAGAGCACTGGCTACTCTTGTAGAGGACCCAGGTTTGGTTCCCAGTACCTACATGGTGGCTAACAATTGTCTGTAACTCCAGTTCCAGGGGCTCCGATGCCTTCTTCTGACTTCCTTGGGCATTGCATGACATGGGTGCACTTACACACATGTAGAAAATACATTCACATACACAAAATTTAAAAAGTAAATAAAATATTTTTTTTAAAAAGAGAGAGCGAGCCAGGCACGGTGGCACACGCCTGTTATCCCAGCACTTGGGAGGCAGAGGCAGGTGGATCTCTGTGAGTTCAAGGCCAGCCTGGTCTAC